AGTGAAAACTGTTTGAAGAAAGTTTAGCAAAAGTTCTGCCACTTTTTCTTATGGTTTATTGCTAGAGCACTGGGTTTGCTATGTTAGAATCCATCTTGAACTTGCTTTTATGTTAGCAGATGGTTTTTGGGTTAGTGCCCTGCTGGTGTGTGCCCTCTGTCACCTTAATCCAGAATGTGCTGGCTTTGTTTTGTCCACCCCCAAAAAATTAATTAATTGTTAGCCTTTAGTTGGAATGTTGCATTTCCAGTCTCCCAGGGAAATGTAGTTATAAATATAATAACTGGCATAATTATTGCAGTGAACTATTACATAGCAGTATACGTGGGGCACGCGCCCTGCAATCTTAAAGCCAACTTTTATATTGGGGTTTTCAATAATACAGTCTATATCAACATGTAACTGCTAATGTACAGGTGCATAAAAGCATAAACCCATTGTATTTCCAAAATATTTTCCATAGTACAAGTAGTTTTTTAATATTGAGAACTAGTTATTTGACAGACTTTTTTTTTTTTTTTTTAATTATTTTTTAACTGAAGCAGTATGAGGCATTCCTCTAGTCATCCTAATCTGTTAGGAAAAATTTTACGCTTCTGTTTGGTGTCCTTACTGCAGACTGGCTGCATATTTCTTTGTTTTGCAATATGGAATGTGCTCTGGCTCACTCACCATACTTGTGTTTTTATAAATCCGTTAGTTAATAGAAACAGTCTTGATTTTCTTTTTTTTTGTTTGGGTTTTTTGTTGGTTGTTTTTTGGTTTGTTTGTTTGTTTTTTTCCCCCAGGAGCTTCGTATGTGAAATTAGGTAGGTCACTTGAGATCAGATTCAGAAACATACTAAAGTGTTAAAAGTTCCCTGAGTTGATGCCTCTGCGGGTCTGTATTTTAATCTCTCATGATGTCATTTCTCAGTCTTTAAATGGGAATAGCAACAATGTTATACCTCAAAGAGATGTCATTAAGGTAAACATGTTCATGACTGAAAGTGACTTTTATCAAATGGTGGAATTGTATGAGCAGACAGGCCTGGACTGAGTTGTTCCATAATTTGTGCTCCACACTAGTAATGGCAGAGTGAAATGCCTTAAAAACAAGGAGCAAGAGCTGCCCTTGGAAATACTGAGACTTCAAATGGTAAGATTGGAAGCAGGGATGTTGCTCTTGGGATAGCCAGGTACCACAGCCACCGTTCCTTTTCAGTCACTGTTACGCAAGTGGAGGCATGACATTGGAAAGATTTCTTAGATAATTATGCTTTTTTAAAAGGATTTTTAAAAAAGCTCTAGAAGTAATTCATCAGTTCTGTTTACAAGTCCAGGGGTGCTTTGGAGACTAGTTCTGAACGGAGTTTGTCCCTCAGGAACGGTACTGAGTGGTTCGCTGTCATTGTGGGTTTTGGCGTACTCCCTTACTAGAGCTATTAACAGCATTGTAGATGTGCAGAGGGGGTGTATATCTGAGGCTCTGTGCCCTAGCAGAGTTAAAACAAGAATAGGCAATGTGCTAATATTGTCAGGAATAGTCTTGCTTTGGCAGGGAAATAGATTAGACAACCTGATAAGTCTTCCTTTTACAAAAAAAAAAAAAGTCTATTCTTTGAGTTAGTGTTACACTACAAGAAATCCTACTGTAAAAAAAGAAAAAAGCCAACAGTGATTTTTTTTTTTAAAATACAGTAAAGATAAAAGTGATCCCAAAGAAATCTTTTCTTTAGCCCACATAGGGTAAGAAATGGAGAAATATAAAGAGATTTCTGCTGGTTTATTTCCTCCAATTCTTTGTCGTGTATAGGAATGGGATGTATTACTTTCTGAATAATTCAGACTCCAGAGGCATTCCTTGCATTATACTTTTAGAACAGCAGAGTCTATTAGAGCAGCAACATATGTATATATCAGGCTTTAATATTTTCATGTAGTCAATATGTAGTAACTTGGGACCAAGCTAGATCCTTATTTTATGATTCCCTCATATTATGGTTGTTGTGTGTAAGCTAAAACATGTGTGAGGCCTAGGGAGAGATCCCAGTACTATGGAGAAAGGCAGGAGCAGGGAACATGCCGCTCAAGGTGACATTGTTGGAAGGAAGCTGGAGAGGGGGAATGCTATAACAAGAGCAACACAAGAACAAAGGGGGTTGTTGGGGTTGGTCTGACCTTCAGAGGTTAGAATGAGTAACTGAGAATTGATGGAAACTGCAAAAGATTGAGTATATATCAAACTTCACCTCCAAAGCTAGAATCCTAGGGACTCTAGATGGATTCTCTTGAAACTGGTCTATTTAAGCTGAGGGGAACTATGCCTTTTATGTTGAAACAGTGCATTTTCTAGACACTTAAAATCTGTCTTGTTGTGCTGAAGTAGTCATCTTTGCTGAATAAGATGTTAGCAATTTTCCTCTTACAGAACATCTGCTTTCTGACTGAATCACTGAACAAGCGGGAGGCTTGTTTGAGCCTGCTGTCCTCCCTGTGCTGCTCACTGACTCCTGCCTTGCCGAAGGGTGTGGGCTGGGTTTCATCATGGAGGTGTCAGGCTTAGGTTCCCTGGTGTCTGCAGGAGTGTCCTCCTCATTGAAAGGACAGTGGTGTAAAAGTAAAATTTACTTTGGCACTTTTGAATGAAAACTTCACACCTTGTTTTCGAGGATCTAGAACTGAGAGAGCAGAACAGCTTAGAGTTACAAGGAAGAAAAAAGCTGCAAGATTGTGGTGATACTTTTATCTTCCATGAGTTTTGAAATGACTCATAAATGGGATTCATCTTGTATAACCTTTAAACACAGAGAGCAGAGAATGAATTTGGTAAATAATTTGAAAAACCCCCATATAAAGGTAGTTTATCAGCAAAATTACCATGGGGTTTGTTTTCACTGAGAAAGTAGATTTGTTTAATCACCTGCCAAAGTTTTATGCAAATACTACAACCCGAAGCACAAGTATTTCTTATTGGTAGATGTTTGCCTTGGAAGCTTGGTGTTTTGTTAGCTGCTGGTGCTGAGCTGATTGATTAGAATCGGTAGGTGACGTTAAGTGATCGTCTGATATTGAAATGTTTCCTTTTCACTTGTAAGATAATTTAAGATCAAATGAAGACTTTTTATAAGTCAGACAGTAGGGATGCCTGTTTCAGATGGAGGTAAGTACCAAAGAACAGGGGTATTTCTAAGAGAGGAGGGCATGGGTACATCTGCTTTGTTTTGCTTGCGTGCTGTCTGTGAACTGTGCTTTCTCTTTTGGGGAGCACTGAGTCAGTCATGCAAGAGTTAAGGAGTAAATGCAAACAGAAGAGCTAGATCTGTACATCCAGCCTAAGTGCTTTCCTCAAGGGGAAGATGCTTTCTGGCACTGCAGCAGCAGGAGGAGAAGCAAACAACTCATGCCCTGTACCCACCTGGAACTGTGACAGTAATGTTTTAATCTTTTTAAGTGAACAAGTTTCTATAGCTAGGTAAAAATTCGCCTCTAAAATGGCTTGATTCTGTTGGTGATACGTTATCCCTTTAATTAAATAGCTGACTTATGCTTGACAATTAATTGAAGTGATGTATGATTTTTATTAGAAACCCATGACTAATTTTTTCTTGCCGTTCTTGTTATCTTATTGTTCTTGCCTACCCTCCTCCAAAGTTGCTGCTGCGTGCCAGCCATGTCCTCCAGGCACTGGTGCAGACCAGTGTTCACTCTTGCTTAGGCTTTTACCTGTTCCAGATAAAGCAACTGTTTTCAGATATTTTCCATGTCACCTTTCAGAAATTTTCCATTTCATCACAGTTCTGCAATTTTTTTGTTCTAAAAGACTCTGGGATTTTTTTTACATAAACTTTAAAAAAAAAAACAAAACAATAAAACAAACCCCAAAAAACCTGACCACCACCACAACCCCTGCCCCCCCCCCCCATGCAATACAGAGGGTTAGCTTCACCTAGTACAACATTTCCTACTTCATTAAAATAACTACCAGGTTAAAAAAATCCTTCCTGCAGTAGTCACTGTGTCTGTAGAGTAATCTGCTAGCAAACTCAGGTGAATTTTATATTTAATTGCAATAGGCAAGATTCAAAATGGATGTGACTGGAGACATCTCTATTAAAATCAGTAGAGCAGCAGCTACAAAGAACTCAGTTTGCCCCTTATCTTATTCTCCTGAACTGTAAGGAGCTGAAGCTCAAGCCTTTGTGTTACATTACAACAAACTGTGATCTGGACAATTCTTTACATTTTTTCCACTTAGAAAGCTTTAGTCTTTTTATAGGAAATTTGTTTCTGTGGGTGAACTTAGGCATGGATGAGTGGGGAACAATGCATTGTTTGTTAAAAAAAACTTTTTTGAAGGGAGTGGGCTTAAAAGGAAGGAAACGTGATTTAGATTTAAATTTCTTTTGAAATTTCTTCCCCTTCTTTTTCCTCATCCCCTCCCCAAAACACAAAACAAAAATCCAAACAACTAGAATTCCCCAAACTGATGTTTCACCATACATATCTTCAAAATATTCAGTATAATCTGGAAAGCCAGAGAGAAAAATAGTCCGTTTAAAAATCACTATCTTGGTTGTCCTTTCTTTCCCTTCCCTTCCCTCTCTGGGTTGTTCTCCCTCAAGAACATGCAGCTTTTGTCTCAGCTTTTCTAGTTTGTATGTTTGGCAGGGTTTTATCTGTTCTATGTCAGCGGTGTGTGTAAAGTAATTTAAGTTTCAATTTATCCATGTGCTTAAACATTTTGCTGAATGAGGTCATTGCATTCTCTGATCCCTGGGTTGATCATTCACAGGGTTGCTGTGGAAGGAAGAACGCTAAGGGGGGTAGGTGGGGGTGAAGATACCAGGGGGGAACTTAAGGCAGGAATACAATTTAATTTTTAATTAGATCTAGATCTAGAGTGGACAGCTGGCTGGAAACCTCTCTTTCTCTCCCTTTCATTAGAGGTCCTCCGTCAGACAGATACTACGTGACAAGTTTCCTTGCTGCTGGGCCGAGAGTGCCTGATGCTGGCTATCATGGCTGATCCCGTAGCAGAAGAACATGCATCCCAAGTTAGTGAACTCTGCTGTGAATGTGGTCAGTTCCACCTCTTGCTGGACAATCACCTCTACAACTTCCAGGATGAAGTGGACGATGAACTCATCTGCCATATCTGCCTTCAGCCTCTGCTCCAACCTATGGATACCCCCTGTGGACATACATACTGTTTCAAGTGCCTTGAAAACTTCATGCAGGAGTATAACTTTTGTCCTATGGATCGGAAAAAGCTCTCTTTCCAGCAGTGCCACAAGTCCAGCCTTCTAGTACGAAACCTGTTGGATAAGCTGATTGTCTTCTGTCCTTTCAAGGCAGAATGTCAGCAGACAATGCAGCGGTGTGAACTAGAAGCTCATCTGCAGAACAGGTGCATTCCCATTTACATTATATTATTGCTCCTTGTATAATGCCATCTGTTTGTTGTGCTTCTGACCAGAAAGATCCATTCTCAGAACAGTTCTTAAACTGGGGCAAGATGGGACACCAAAGATGACAGAGGGTGAGGCCAGAAAGGTGGGTGGGTGAAGACAGTGTAATTGTGCGTGTGTGTGTTAGGGAGGCCAGTTCACATGTGCTGTGGAGGCGAAGGGTGAGGTGCTTGCATGCAAGTTGTCCGCAGACACAAAACCTATCAAATGTATTTAAATCTGTGTGTCCTGATCTGGGCCACCTGACTCTGAAAATTATTATAAACATGCTTATTCTTGTTTCACTTGCACAGAGGAGAAAGACAGGCACAAAGTCAACACTCTGGAAGCAAGGGATCATGCAGTGTTGCCAGTTTAATTGGTCCAATTAAGATGTGCAATACATAAGTCTTTGATCCAAATAATGTAAGTCCCTCCAAGCTGCACATTATGCAGTTGCTGAATCACCTACTTATAATTCCATTATCTTCTCTCATTCTTTTGCTGAGAAAGAGAAACAAATAAAAAATACTTTTTTTTTCTTTTTTTTCCCCCTTGTGCAGAAGAAAGGAGACTTTTTTTCATTGCGCTTGTCAGCAGAGATGTGTTTTGGTGCTTTCACTGTTGATTGAGCTGGTGGCAGGCAGAATATTGTAGCTTTAAAAGAAGTGCAGATGACAAAGAGCTCTTGCTATAGCGCTTGAAGAACACTTGTTCCTACCTAGTTAATGATTGCAGGAAAGGGAGCTAAGTACAAGCCCTACTGCGGGCAGAAGCAGAACTTCATTGGCAGTGTGTATTTTGTTAGTGGGCAATGAGAAATGCAACAGGCTTGTTTCCCTTCAGCTATGTTGTAGCTTTCTGTGGCAATGACCTATTTTAAAAATAGGTCAACCAGTGTGCAGCGAACAGTTATGCTTAGGATGCCTTTGCAGTTCCAGCCTAGGATGTGTCCTTGTGGTTCTTGCTCGTCTTCGGCACCCACGAGCGGAGAGCTTGTGTTAGAGCCAGGGGAAGTGATGGAAGATGCTTGTGTGCCCCTTTCCCTCGATCTGTGAAAGCTTATAATCTCCTTTTTCTTGAACTAACTCTTTGTACTGCTTTCTTGTTATCAGGCAGGGCTGAATGCTCAGACTACGGGGACAGGGCTGGCCCGTTCCAGGGCTGGGCCTTCCTTTCTGCTCTGTAAATCGACTCTGGTATCAGTAAACTTCTGTCACTTGTTAAACCCTCTGGCACACGAGTTAAACACAGAAGAGGGAGGCACCCTTAAATGTTTACGTTAGAGACCTGACTGGAAACTGTATCATTCTCTTACACATTTCGTAGTTCTTTGCGTCTTCCTTCGGGAGGGTGTGTTCTGAAAATTGAGGCTATTTCACCTGGGCTGTGAGCATAGTTAGAGTGAAAAATGAAAAAAATTATTTGGGTGTTCCTGCTTTTTAGTTTTAAACTAGATTAACTGATAGCAGGAAATAAGAAGCATCTAGAAACTTGTTTTCTTGGAGGATTTCTCTGCCCTTTGCAAAACGAATTTGTTTCTTGACATCTTAAGAGGGACAGGTGCACAAGTGGATCAATCAGCTTCTGTCTTTAAGTTTCAGGGTCATCTTACTGCTTGGAGAATAAATGACTAGGAATAAACCAGAGGAAGTAATGCCGGGATGAGACTTGTTTAGCCAGAATGTAAATAGTTGAGTTTAATTTGAAAAGTGACTCTGGTAAACACCCAATACTAGTCATGTCTCTGAAAGTGATGCTTTTGCATTCATCACCCTCCTCACCTGCCACCTTTTTTATAAATACTCTTGATAAAAGAGCTTGTTTTTCCTCACTCATTTCTGCTGAGATAGGCTGGCTGTGGTGTAGCTGCATACAGAGTGCATTTTGTTGAACGTAGAATTACTTCTTGAGCCTCCGTGTGGGGAGCAGTCAGTGGGAATATAAATTTCTCTAAATTGCTCCCATTCAAGCAGAGCCATCACTTGCTTGGACTGGAGGTGGAATGTTGTCTGAGGGTCAGGTCTCATTCAGCAAAAAAAAAAAAAGCAAGCCTCGCTTGCTGCTCTTGCATGTTACTGGTTTGTTAAAATCAAAGCCTAATTCAAGGCTGAGCTTGAAACTTGAGCCACTTCCTTTGCATAAAGATACAGTTCATAGTCATCACTAAAAGGGCAGAGCTAAGTATTTGCTTATATTTTAAGAGGTATTGTTTTCTTCACGGAGCCTTTGCCAGGTAAATATTTAGCAAGGGAGACTCCCATTCATATTACATTCTCCTTTTTAAAATAATTTGCTTAATAATAATTTTGAAAGTAATAACATAACAAGCCCGCTCTTAAGCTGATACTAGTACAAGTAGAAGCTGAAAGTCAAATGAGAATAAATTTTAGCATCTGTGATACAAGCTTTGCAGCTGATGAGATCTTGAACATGCTTCTTCACATACCTTTGTCAGTCAGAGCTTGTATGTGCTGGGTTAACCACGCAGGCAGACACAGCCATTTACAGTCACTGACAATCTCTCTCTAGGTGTCCTGGTTTCAAGAAATACAAATCTGAACTACAGCGGAAAAAAAATCCCATTTCCAAAGGGAAGGAAGATCCTCCTACCAAGGTGGAGACAAACACACCCAAGGATCCAGAGGTACCAAGTGGAGGATCGTCACTTGTGGCAGAAAGCTCTGCAGCTGCTGTGGTGTCGCTAGGGACTGCAGAGCCTGGACTGGTTAATCCAGCTTTTGAGGAGACTGAAGAAGGTGAGAGTTTGATACAGAAAAGTAATTATGTAATTACCTTTTATAATATAAAAATGAGGTAATTATCTCAGACAATTCAATTTTTAAAGTGTCCCCAGTGTTCTTAGATATCCTCAATGCTATTCAGCCATCAGAGTAATCTTTTTCCTCAGTTTGTTCTTGAGCAGAAGGGAGATGCATTCACGTGCATCAGGTGTGGCAGGATCTGTTCACAAGCACAAAACTGTCTGTGCAAAATAATTTGGAGAATCTCTGTTAGACTGCACTGAATATTTGCAGTATTCTTTGCAGAAACAAAGGCAGTCCCTGTCAATGGGAACATGCAGCACTTAAAGCACTTGCAGAAGCCAAATAATAAGGAAATGTTCCGGTTTCTTCTTAATCTTGTTAAGAAAGTTAAATATACAGTCAGTTTCCTGGAGTGGTCAGTAATGGTGTGCAGCAAGTATGTTTTTATAGCATAACTTAGTTTTTGGATTAATAATCAGTTACGAAACCCTTGCAGATAAAAGTAACCATCTCCGCTTCAGTATAGAATCGCTTGTCTCAACCCCTGCTAGAGGCAGCAGTGTGGAAATCTCTGTGCCTTGCTTCAAAGTTAGTCTCAGTTTCCAAGTGTGCAGGCGCTGGAGCTGGCAACTGCTGTGCCTGTGCCAGAGTTAATACACAGGTCAGTTTACTTCTCTGTTGGCTTTTTCCTGAAGTATGCTTGGGGCAGGTTTTGCATCTCTTGCGTGACAACTGCAGTTCACCCTGACAGGCAGTGCGCTTGGCTTCATTAGAGTGTGGGGCCTGCCTAAATGTTGCAGTGCTAGTACATTTAATACGACTTGCTAACAACAACTTTCATCTTCAAAGTGTCTGAGAAGCATTGCTTAGTCTTCAGTATGCTGTAAATAGGTAAACATTACTCCTGTTTTACAGGGGGGATGGGAAAAGAGGAGGAAAGGAAATTAGAGGAGGGAAGTTGCAGTGAGCTGCCTGTGGTAAAGTCACCGCAATGGCAGACCAGTAATTACAGCTCAGTAGTCCCCTTTTCTAATGGGCATCATGGAAATTGGCATGTTATGTGTGCGCTTCTAGTAGGCCAGCTGTCACAGTAGAAAAATAAATCTCTAAATGGTAAGTGAAACGTACTGAATGCCCTTTAATAAAACTGAAGAAATAATAATGAGAGAGTTTAAATTTGCCATAAGCTAGGAGGAGATGGGAAACGTTCTGGAGAAACTGTAAAGAAACAGGGGCTTTTTAAGTTTTTAATCTGACCTATTGTTTCCTCTCCTGACAGCTGCTTTCCCTCCAGACGCTACTTTAGACACAACCTGCCAGCGTTACCAATCTTGTGGTGCTATGTGAAGGAAAATTCTATTAATGTGTTGTTTTTTCTCTTCAATTTCCACAATCAGATCTTCCTCAGAGAACTAGTCTTGTGGCTGAAACGACCACAATTGAAATTCACCGAGAAGACCCGGAGGAAGAGCTGGGGATGAGGATAGTTGGGGGTAAAGACACCCCGCTAGGAAACATTGTTGTTCAGGAAGTTTTGCGGGATTCTGTCATTGCTGCAGATGGAAGAATAGCACCTGGAGACCATATTCTTGAGGTATGTAAAACCCCACCGGTAGTCCTACTGCTTCTCTTGACTTGAGATGAGGGCTGGAGGAGGAGAGTTGCCTAGAAAAACTGGGAAACCTCTACAGCTGAGGGTTTAAAAGTGCTGATCAGACTTGTGTATCTGCTGGGGCTGAAGCAGACTTTTGAGGTTCCTTCCAGTCATACTTTTATTTACCTTGCATATTTGATAGCTTTTTGAAACTTAGACCATTTTGGATAAATTAAAAAGATTTCTATCTGATAAATTTCGCCCAGTAGCACCATTTCTCTCCAAAGGACTGTGCTCTAGTTAGGAAGTCTTATAATTACTTGCTCTACGATGTTGCTTAAGCTGCATATTCTCAATGGGCAGGCCCAAAGTTTAAGACCTTATGACTTGAAGTAAGCATCAGATATGTAATGTGAGTAATAAAGAGCACCAACCTCATACCGTGCTGACCCACAGCCAGATTTAGTCTCCAGATTAATCGCGCTGCATGGCAGTGGGCTAATCAAGGCGACAGAAGCTTGTATACAGTGGTAAAGCCTACATGCAGCAAGAACTGCTAGCACCTCCCGGCTATGGCTGCCCAATCATTTGACAAGCCATAAAGACCTAATTATCCTGCTGGACTGTGGACTTCAGTACAGACTGGCAGCCCCACATGCACAACTGGCCGATACGATCTCCGAGTTGGTTTCTTAGATAGACCAATAGAGTAACTTCTATTTTATCCAGTTGAATTGTACATGTCTCAGTCCTGACTGGGCTGTAAATAGGGCAGGTCCCCACACTCAGTAGCCTTATTAACGTACTAGAAGAAGACTGCAGAGAGTCTTATGTGACAACAGACAAAGCGAAAAGTAGCTTCTCAGAGTTACCTTGGTAAAAGCATGATTAGACTGATGATTCCAGAAGCTTATAAACTATGGACCACTCTTCCACTTAAGAGCGAGGATGGGTAGTCTCCAACTTGAGTCTTCTCCTCCAAGTGTGTGTGGAACGCTGGCAGTTAAGGGAAAGCAGTTCTGCATTGCCATGGGAAGTATGTAATGATTTAATATTTTGCAGTTTCAGATTTGTTAGTTATGTGAGTTGTTCTGTCTTGTCCCTGTCCTCAGGTATTCACCATCAATTATGGTCTAATTTCATCTGCTTTCTTCTGCATCCTTTTTTAGAAAACTCTGCTCTCTAATGTGCATCAGAAGCAGCTGCTTCAGTGATGGCATTGCAGAGGGAGTTGTACATCCTGTCTCCAACTTTGTGATGTTCCGCACTGCGGACAGTGCCTAAATTATGTAGATTCTGATTAGTGACTCTGGTTTGTTTGTCTTTCTAGGTGAATGGCGTCAACATCAGCAGTGTGACTCACTGCCAAGCTGTCTCCTTCCTGCGCCACCCAGGTCCTGTTCTCCACCTCATGGTCCTGCAGGAGAAGGGTTTTTCCAATAAGACTGCACAGCAGGATTCCACTTCTGCTACAAATCGGGAAGTGATCCACGTTACCTTGATAAAGAGAGACCGATCCGAACCGTTGGGAATCAAACTGATCAGGAAGACAGATGAAGCAGGGATTTTTATTCTAGATCTGTTAGAGGGAGGTTTGGCAGCCAAAAATGGAAAGCTGAGTCGGAATGACAGAGTCCTGTCAATAAATGGCCAGGATTTGAGGCAAGGAACACCTGAGGCCGCTGCGCAGATAATCCAGGTAATTTATGACATGGTGAGGTTGTATGGCTAATGACTCTGCAGCTGCCTGCGTTGATGGCAGGGCTCCTGTTCTGACCCAAGGGCTAACAGAACACACTAGAGCAAACTGCATTACCTGAAATATCTCTTTGGGAAAGTGACTTCCCTGCAGATGTGTGGGAAGCACCGCTTCCAAATGAAGATAAACACGAAGAGTGGGAATCCATTGTGAGTCATCTCTGACAAGTCTGAAGCGAGGCAGTTGCTCATGGCACTTTAGTTCAGCTAAGGCAATTGGAGCTTCTTTGTGGTGTGGTGTTTGGAGCCTTTCTTGCAGAGTGAATATTCGTATGCGCTGTGAAGACGCATGCAGCAGAGACAAGGAGAGATTAGGTCAGCCTCTCGTGCTTCAAACAGTCAAACTGAAGGTGTTTGTTGGGAGATGTGATAGGCTGGCAGCACAGAACAGAACCCTTTTGACTGATTTGAAGCCCTCTCCCCATTTTACCTGTATTTGGGAAGGGGGTCTAGAAAACAACATGAGGCACCTCAGGCTAAAAACATTCTAAAATACTAAATGGGTAGAAGAGACGTGGTCTTTCCCTGCACAAAAGGAATGCGCTCCTGTTGCAGCATGCCAAATGTTTTGGTGAAAGGAGTGGGCAAGGAATTTTGGTTAAGGATTAAGGATTGCTACGTGTGCAGCAGATACCATGTAGATCAGTTTAAATTCTTTATCTCCCTAGGCGATGACCTCCAGTTTCTGTTTTTATCTAAAGATCCTGACACAATACATCTCATCACATACTGTTTATATCCCGGAAAGGATCTGAGGTCAGCAGTGAGAGAGCCAGTTCCCTTCCTGGTAATCAGCAGAGGAGTGCAGTGGCATGGGAGAAAAGAAGAGAAAGAGCAGAGTTCCAGTACTGAGATCCTTTTTTGTGTTATATATGTGATTCCATTCTATGGCCTCTTCGAATTTTGTTTGCATCCCATTAAGTGCTGCTGTATTTCTGTTGTAATGTGCAAGCATAACTCCCATATGAGGAACGCTTTCTTGATCCCACTGAAATCAGTAACCAAAGTCTCAGAACCAGCTTCAGTAGGTTTGGGGATTGAATTCCTTTTGAAGTGACATTTGTGTAAAACTGTGACAGTCTTCCAAACATTATCTGTTCTTCTGAGGGCTAATTCAAATTCTTGATTAAATGTAATTTTAATTTTGATTGCAAACCATTTGCAGAAATTCTACCTGTATTGTGAAATACCATTTACAGCTCGCTCTCTCTATATATATGCACAGCCATATGTACTGTACATAGTCTGGTTGAAGGGGAGGGCAAATCCCCATCTTAGGACGTGATGTTTACAATATATTTTATGAAGACATGGATGTGTGCCAACTTATCTGGAAAAAAATTGCTGTATCTGATGAGTCTTTAGAGGCAAGAGGCTTTTAAATTCTGTTTCAGAAACCAAAACTCTCCTGTACTAGTTTAAAAAGAAAAAAAAAAAACAACAGTTGATGCAGTCCCTCTTCCAAAGCCATGGAATTCACTGTTGCCAGGGTGCTGTGGCACCAAGGAAATAGGGTTCCATGTCAAGAAGTAAGAGCGGCAACTGTGCTCCTCTCATCCATTGCAGGAAATGCCCCAAGAAGCGCATACGCCTTACCCCAATGGAGTCCTTCACAATAAGGTTTTGTCAAATTATCTGAAAGAACAA